CAGGGAAGCCAGATTGCAGAGTATGTGGAGATGTAAGAAAACTGGAAAGGTGGTGGGGGTCTGGGGAGGGATTAGGTTTTTGAAAGCTAAATGGAGGATTTTATATTTGACCCTGGAGGTGATAACAAGCCACTGGGGTTTATTGAATAGGAGGGTTACATGGTCAGACCTGAGCTTTAGGAAAATCAATCTAACAGTTGAGTAGAATAGGATTGATGTGGGAAGAGATGTGAGGCAGGGAGACAAGCATGAAGGTTATTGCAGTAGTCCAGGCATGAGGTTCTGAGGGTCTGGACCAGGGTGAAGACAGTGTTATAGGAGAGAAAAGGACATATATAAGAAGGTAGAATTAATAGGAATTGGCAAATGATTGGATATAGGGGTGAAGAGTCAAGGATGACATCTAGCCTGGGTGACTGGGATTGTGATGCCCTAGGCAGTAATTAGGAAAGTTATTCCATGAGAAATATCACAAAAGAACCCATAGAAGACCTACCTAGGAAAAGAGACGTAACAAGAAAGGCAACAGATGCCTGCTACAAGCTATAGTGGCAATCCTGAAATACTAAAATAACAAAAGAAGTTTCCATTGTGTTGAGCAACTATTCTGAATGATTTGTGTAGGATGCTATATGGAGCAGCTGTCATTTAGTTGTATGTGGATATTCGGTTATATCATACATACTGATGAAATCACAGATCCATCATAGTTATGAAGTAAAATTTATATTATGCAGTGCTATGTAGCAGAAGGAGCTTGGAGTTAGAAGAGACTAGAATTCTGATTTTGACCTTAACATTTACTAGTTGTGACTATAAGGAGCTCACTTTACCTTTCTGGACCACAGTATCTTCATTTGTAAAATGGTCATCTTTGTTCAATACCTTCCTCTGGCTGATCAATGTATTATACTCAATTTGCATTTATTTATTTCACCAGGTTATTGTGATAATCAAATGAGAAAAAACACGTACTTTGCAAAATCATGAAGTACTTTACAAAACTACATACGTTATTAGCTATTTTTATATACGACATATGTTAGAATAAACCCTAATTAGATCAATGTCTAAGTAAAACTTTTTGTGAAACAATTTATTATTAAACCTAAACTACCATGGAACTGGGCCAGTCAGGATCAGCCCACAACAAGACTACAAGTATGACATGGTCTTCATACAACACAAAGAAGTTAACTGGCTCATGTTGGGAATCAAACTCATGATCTTTTATAGATTTATTACCAACTACATGCTTGGACTATTATAATAACCTGCCAGTGGGTCTATCTACTTCATCCCTCTCCAATCTAACCCATCCTTAGCCAATAAAATGATTTTCCTAAAATTCAGGTCCAACTTTGTTGCCTCCCCCACAACAAAACAAACAAAAACCCTCCTTTGGTTCCCTAGTACCTCCAGGATCAAATACATAATCTTCTGTTTGGCATTAAAAGTCCCTCATAATATAGCCCTCCTTGACCCCCCTTTTCTGTCTTCTCATACCTTATTTACCACCATTTGATCCAGAGACACCTGATCTGCTGGTCCACAAACAAGAGATTCCATCTCTGAGCTTCAAATATTTTCTAGGACTGTCCCTCATACCTAGAATGCTCTACCTTTTCATCTCTACCCCTTGGCTTCCCTGAAGTCCCAACTAAAATCCCACCTTCTACAGGAAGCCTTTCCCAACCCCTCTTAATTCTAGTGCCTTCCCTCTCAATTATTCCTAATTGAGTATATTTCCAATTTATCCCACACATACCTTGTCTGCAAACAAAAATGGAAGTATTGGTTGGTTTGTTGTCTGCCCATTAGATTGTGAACTCCTTGAGGGCTGGGACTATCTTTTGCCCCTTTTTGTATCTCTAGCACCTGACACAGTGTGTGGAAGACATCTGCGAATATGTGAAAAGGCAGAGAGGTAGGGGCAATCCAAAATGGATGTTTCTCTCCTCCAAAAGGCTATAGGGTATCATGGAGCAATTAACAACAGCATTTAGTAGAGTGGCATATCGAAAATCCAGCCTCTCACTTTCATCCCAAACATCAGTTACTGGTTTAAAGATTTGGATCTCAGAATCATAGGTTTAGAACTAGAAGGAACCTAAGAAGTTTAGTCTAAACTCTTCACTTTTACAAATGAAGAAAATGAAGTTCAGAGAAGTTAAGCAACTTGCCCAAGGTCACAGAGGTTTTAAATAGCAGACCTAAGGGACTCAAAAGTAGGTTCTCGTGACTCCAAATTCAGTTGTTTTTTTTTTTTAAATTAGAAGTATAGCAGGTAACTCGGGGCCCAGACATCTTTATAAATTCAACAGGGCCAAATAGATTAGAATTAGGGGATGTATGGTCAGAGAATAATGAAGTCAGATGTAGAAGAGGGAGGGCCAAGGTAAAACATAGGCAGCTAGGGTTGTAGCAGAAATGCAGGATAAAGCTCTATATTACATCACTTTCAGTACTGAGCAATCTGTATATACAAGGTTCCAATGAAGTTGTTTATTGTCAGTGTAAAGAAATGCAGGACTTTCTTGGATTAGGTTTTAGGATGGCTGCTTTCCCTGACAGATCATTAGATACCAGGCCTAGTGCACCAGAACTTCAGACTTTGACCTAGCACAGCCTGTACTGGGGCCTAAGACAGAGGCCTGACAGAGCATAAAGCATTAAAACACACTTCATATAGCCAATATATTTTACAAGTTACATTATGTTCTCTTATTCCCATCTGGCTCAACCCAGCCCCTTTTCTATTCTGTTTACCTCTTCCATTATGTCCTTTGGAACCCCTCTTCTGTCATTAACACATTCCTCCTCTTTGTAGCTCTCCTTTTGACATGTTTGCTATCTATTTTCTTGTATTCATGGGAACTTGAATCTTTACAGAAGATTACTTATCACTGGCTATCCTTTTTTAGGGTTATTTCTTTTCTTAATATTACCTAAAATGGTGGCAGGTACATAGAGAAGGGGATAGATTTAAGGGTGTTGTAGAGATTGAATTAAGCTCAAAGGAGAAAAGGGTTTCTGAATGATCACAGCAATGGGGAGTAAGAATATGTTGACTCCCCACCGAACCCATAGACTGGGTTTGCCAAGACCCATGAAGATTCAGGAGGACCTCCTGGGGATCACAGAGACTTCGAAGGACAAAAAGTCACAGAAACTTGGTGGTCTGGAATGTGTGTAGGCACATGTTTTCCCAGGATTCTCAGGTTTCTGATTGCTTTGGCCACAGGCAATTAGTGGAGGATTGGTGTGCTGCTGCTTGCAACTGAAAGCAAGAGAATTTGCAGAATGTATGTGTAGAGGTGGAGAAGGGAAGATAAGAGCAAAACAAATCCAGATAAACAGCAGGGATGGATTGGATACAGGTAGAGGTGAAGAGCAGCTGAGCCTAGCAAAGATGCAGGAACCAGATTGTCTTGAACTAGTTGATAGCTTCAGCTAGTGGGAGCAGAGTGCAGTCCACAGTCTTTCTCTCCCTGCTTACCTAGAAAGCTGCACTGGAAGAAGTTTTTGCTCACTTTATCTGTCCCATCACCTTTCTTTTCTGTCCCTCTCTGACCAACAGGTAAGAGGGAAATAAATCAACCTAAATGCAACATTATTGTAAGAATGGCATATGTTATCATGTTAATGTATAGCTGTGTTTTTTATGCTATTTGATACTGTCAATAATATTTGATACGTGGCAATTAATAGTGAATTGTCAAATACTTTTGAGAATTTGGAAGATCGTGATTGAGGTGGGAAGTATGGTCATAGAAAAAATGGTGGGGGAGGAGAGGATCCTTAAACTAAATGGAGACCAAGAAAGGTGAGAGTTCTGAATTATTACTAGTGGGAGGGGCTGTAATATCTGAGGATATTCTAAGACATACAGACTAGATTGCTTATGAACTTGAGAGGGAGCAGGAGATGAACCTGAATGGGTGTGGGGATATCAAGTACACCCCTTAGCATTGTAATATTGCATCTAGCTCTATATCTCATCACATTCACACATCCCTATAAAGAAAAGAAAAAAATACATACTCTAACCAAATATTTCATCTAGCATAATAAAAAAGTTTGAGCTAATAGGAAAGGATATAAAATTTGAAAGGAAATAAATGGCGTGTCTCGGGGGAATCACAGTATTCCATTCCTAGTTGTTTTTGAGAAATGCACAATTAAAAAAAGAGGAGCAAAAAATTCCTCAAACTCTCATAGAAAAATATGGCTTAATTTTGGCCTATTGCCATGACATTATGAAGATCAGAATTATGTATTTTCTTTCTTTCATGGGAATTCTCCACAAAGGTACAAAAGCAATCCGTATTTCTGAAGATTAAGCACAGATGATACTGAAAATGAGTATTGCAAAAGAAAAGTATGCCATAACATAGAAAATACAGAAAGGTAACAAGAGATTAGACATTGCTTTCTTCACTGATAAAATGGTGAGAAACAATGTTCAAAAGATTCTAAATTTCTTGTATGAAAAGTATTTAACATTTTAAATATTTAAACATGCTTGATATTATAGGTGACTACATTTACTCAATGAATATAAATTTTTTTCAAGATCTGCCTCAATTGTAGGGAGGAGAGAAAGCATAAATGAATAAAACTCCAAGATCCACAAGCAAAGGTAAAGAAAAAGCTCATGTTTTCACCACTATAATCTGCCAGGGGAATATATTTTTTTTGAGGGAAAAAAATTCAACTTTTCTCCAATGATTTTTTTAACTAAAAAAAAAATAATTACCTATTAGGAAACCCACGGTTAAAGATTCCAACTGGTATCCAATATAAACAAAGAAAATATAAGCTTCCTAAGCCTCTTCATGGAAGAGGAGCTTATAAGAAGCAAGTAGTAGGATTTACAATTAAGGTTTATAAACAGAAAAACTCAATTATGAAACAATGACAATTTACTTTAACTGAAATAGCCTACCAAGTAACTGTATTTTACAGGTTAAAAAAATCATAAAAATTAATTTTAGAGAAATGGTTAAAATATTCTTTAATGGCACGATTTCCAATCAATATGTTTCTCCACTGTAACTTTTAATAGCTTTTGGGAAACTATAACAAGATGGAATTATTTGAACAGTACCTGGGATAATCACCATAGATATACACTAAATAACAAATAAATTTGTGGCCAATTTTATAGTTGCTCAAATAAGGATGCAAAAATGTTACCCAGTAACTGACAGTTAAATCAAACCTGAACTACACATACTGTGTGTTACTTGAGTATGTACAGGTACATCCCATGAACACATGCAGAGCTATAGAAACAAGTACAGTCCTATAAAATCAAAACTGTAGTGTTTACCAATATACATAATCCTCTCAGATTAAAAAGAAAAGAAGCTTATGATGGTCAGAAGATCTCATTTAAAGATAAAATACAATAAGCAACCTGATCTTTCTCACGTATGGAACGCCAAAACATCAAAAAAGCTTAACTTCATGTGACTTTCTTGATATGGAACAAAACAAAATAAAACAAATCTCTTCCATAGTTGGATGAATGTCTTCCTTTCACTGTAATCAAATCAAATGGACATTATAGTCTTTCACTCTTTTTTAGGTAAAAAGAAGGCTTTGCATTCCAACTACCAAGAAAAACTCTACATCAGTTCAGGGTAAGTGTCAAACCACACACAGAGAAATGCTTTCAAGTACCTTATGAATGATTCAGCCAGTTGTTTGAGATATGTTTGTTTTTCCTGAGAATTGAATGGGACCCAAGAAAATAAACAGGCAAAGGAAATGACCCGAGTTCATGGGAATTTCTAAACTTGAAAGAGAACTGCTTCAGCATTGTTAGGATCTCATTAATAGCTTTTTACAGCAAAGCTTTCTTAATGAATCATATGCTAGTAGGCAATATGGTTTTATTATTATTTTTTGAACCTTCAAATAATTGGTTTCCTTCATATAAATTTATGGAAAGGCCAAAACAGAAAATATGACTGACACTTATATGTGTGAATATATATACACAAACACACATACATATACATATACACATACACATATGTATGTATGTATGTATGTATGTATGTATATATGCATTAAAACACACAAAGATAATCAGAGATGTCTTCACACAGTACTATTCCTGAGGGATGGATAAAATAGGGATGATATGGAAGGTGAGGCAGATAGCTTCTTTTCTGTCAATCACCTTTTAAATATCTCATTCTCATGTGACGTATTTACAAGAATGGAATGGGGAGAGTGTTGATCCCATGGCTATTTTTTTGTAAACTATGAGGGTGCAACATACACCAGTATAATTTTCAGACCTCAAACAGGTTACAAATCAGAATGTGAATTGGTCTTGAAGAAAGAAATTTGGCTGCAATCTATTTTATAATTTATGTAATCTAGTTCAAGGCACTTAAAAAAACCTTGGTGCCTCAGTTTACTCATCTGCAAAATGTGAACAATATTAATTTATTTACTTCTGAGAACTACTGTGAGGATTACTGAATGGTTTTTAAAGTGCTTTGAGCTCCTCAGATGAAAAGCACTTTGGAAAATGTTTACCTTAAGGAAAACTCTTCTAGCGCCTTAATAACTGTAATCCAAATCTGTTATCTTAAATTTTGATATTACCTAAATATCTGGAAAATATATTTTAGTAGAATTTCATATATTCACTTAATTTTGGGAGATATGAATTTTTTTACTTATAGCTTTTAACGAATTATCTTTTAAAAGTTCTCTTATGCTGCATATATGCCTTAAATAATCACAGAGTTTTACAGGGAAAAAGAACTGAACTAGAATATTATTTGTGTGAAACTACAGTTTTTTTAATGAAAAAAATAATGAAAATTTTTCATACTGTCTATATTCAAGTGAAGAGTACAAAGATTTTTTTCTGAAAAAAAAAAACACTGTAGAAAAGAAATATGCTTCTTATTATGCCCAGTGAAGTTTTTTTTTAACGTAATGCTTCAAACATTTGAATAATTAGAGGTAATAAATTATAAATCCAGTAGTTAGCCATTTGTTTGTTTTTTAAACATTAGTTATCTAAGTTAAATTCAACAAAATCTAAATTTGTAGTTAGAATGGCCTCAATGTTACTGTGGAAAATGTAGTTTTTAATTTAAAACACAGCCTTTTTTTATTCTTACATAAAATAAACTTTTAGGTGCATGTATTTAGTTAACTAATTGGATTCCATTGGATAATGAATCTTTATACTAAAATTAACTTAACAGTTTTATCATTGTTACCACACAGCTCTCAAGTCTTCCTTAGTAAACATTCCTGTGTGATACCATATAGAGTGGTATCTGAAAATTTGAAATTAACTCATGTAGGTTAGGACTGAATATTTTTTTGAAAATAAAAATAAGGTGCTTTTAAATACAAATATTTCTTGCCCCATTAAAATTGAAACATACGTAAACCTGAAACCTCTGTGTCTTAAACATACTGAATTTTAACAAGCATCAATTCTGTGCCATTAAAGTTCCTTCAGAAGTTCAGATTGGATCTAACTTTGGCTTTGCATCATTGTCTTGTTCATGTTTGTACATGAAAGTTAAAAGAAAGAGGGCAATATCCAAGGATGACCAATATGCAGTATGTGATGTCACAGCTGACCAGTATCGGCTTTCCACAAGGCCTTCTCTGAGTTCAAAATCAATCCTGTGGTCCAGTTCCACTAGGAAAAAAAAAATAAGAGTCAGAATTTTATTAAATAGATCTCTGTAGAATTTACTAAATTACTGAAGATTAAAAAAAAGTTAAATGAAGTGGATCTTCAAACTTTTAATTTGAGGTTTCTATATTTCTTTCCCCCTAATATACCCAAATAAAAACCATATAAACAAAAAATTTCATACTACTAAAATGAGAGAGGTACTTTTTCTTAAGTCAAGAGAAAATGATGATAGAGGAGAATGCAACAAAAACTACTGCTAATTCATTTGAAATGAATAATGGATGAAATGGTGAAATAAATATGAGAACAGTAATGAGGCTCAAAAGGAAACTTTATTCTTTCTTTATTCTATTTGTCAGCTGATTGTTTTATTGCCCAGGCCAATTTCTAACTTCCAAAGTTCTCTTTAATTCTAACTTTGACAGACACTTAACAAACTTCAAGAGAATTCAGTTAGTCTTATTTTATTATACTTGTAAGCTCCTTGAGAGTAGGAGGACTATTTTATTTTTTGTCTTTTTGTCACCAAGGCCTAGTACAATACCTGGCACACAGTAGGCACTTAATAAGTGCTTACACATTGGTTTAATAAAACTTAAGGGAGAGGAAACTTGGCCAATGGAATTTTGGTCTTTAGTACCTCTTTATGATTTGTATGATACAGAGATTGACACTAACAAAAACTTAGACCATTCAGTCAATTCAATTTTATTTTTGATTTAGAGCTGTAAACGATATAAAAAAAAAAACCAAACCAAAAACAAAGTGGTGGAATTTAGGAAGGAGAAGTGTGAAATTTGGAGAAAAGCATGAGCTTTGCTTCATATTGGAAATTTATTAGTACATCTGAGAAAGTAAAATTTACGTAGGTGCTAAGTTATAGCCTAGTCATCATAAATTAAATCTTTGTTTCCAAACTCAGTGAAAAGTTTTGGAGAGATATGTGACATAAGTGTAATGAATGATTTATCTAATATAGTATATTTTATGATGTGATTAAACCACCTTGCAATTTTACAACATTGTATCTTTTGGTTCTATTCAGCTATGGGAGCTGGGAAGGCCATATGACTCATCAATTCACAGGTCAGTAGCCTGAAAAGCAGAAAATATTACTGCTGCCTTTAAAGATGACATAAACATCAACACAAAACAGCAGCATTTTTCCAGATGATATCTGTAGGTGCTTTTAAAAAAACAAAACAAAACAAAACTGGTCAAGTACTTTGAGGCTATGTCTATTTATCTTTAAATCTATGATTTGCTTCTGCCTAAGTGAAAAACAAAAAACTCAAGGTGTAATAGCTACAGTTTAAACAGTATACATCCACATATAGGAATGTGAGGTTCTGTGAAGCCAGTTTTTCCTCAATATTTGTCATTTTTTTGGAGATCACTAAGTATGCTTTATGAAAACAGAGGGGAAGGTTCAAAAGAAAATAGGAGAATAGACAATCTGTGCACCCCAAACTTATTGATAAAAACAAGGCTAGACAAAGTGCACCACTGGGGCAAATGAAGGAAACAAAAGATGGAATGGGAACGCTAGAGATATAGGATATTCATCAGTGAAATCTTGGTAAGGCAAAAACATTGCTCTAGAATTCTCATTTTCAAATCTCACTTGTACAATGTATCTTTCAGATTCCCTAAACTTCGGGTTCAAGTACTTCATTTTACTGTCAATGAAAGGGAATTTTTTTTGCCCCTGCTTCATTAAGTTTTATTTAACTTGACCTTGCTCTTACAACCTTTCTTGTGTAACCATGCTGCCTCGCTCTAATGATCATTTTCTTCAGTTTTCTTCAAATCATTGCTAGTGTTTTTCTAGGCTGTCCTCACCAAAGGAGAAATCAGAGTTAGGCAACTGGACTGGATATGTTTGCACCTAGAGAACTATTTCTTGATGTTCAGCACCATTATTAAAAAGTACAGTCCTAGTATGCGCTGGTGGCCAATCAATCAATCAATATTTATTAATTGCTTACTATATGCCAAACACTGTGCTAAGCACAGGGGACACAAACAAACAAGACAAAAAAACAGAAACAAAAACAGTCACTGTCCTCAAGGAGCTTACAATCAAATGGGAAAGTCACAACAGGAAACTGAAAAGGGGGAGTTAGGGCAAGATGAGATTTTACCTAGTGAGTTGGCAAAGTGGGAAGTCAGAAAAGCCCCAAGCTAGTACAGCCAGGTGAAAAATGAGATGTCCGAGTTGAGCTCTCTTCTCAGCCAAAGTATGGGGTAGGGGTGAGGGGTAGGGGCCTTGGCTTGAAGATATTAGAATGGATATGAAATGGGGTCCCTGAACTTACAACGTAGTGCCTATAAGCCTTGAGGTACATCACATAGCTTGGCTTTTTGCTCCAAAGTTCTGTGGCTACAATAGTATAATTTGAGACACAGAGAGCTAGGAGACAGCTAAGTGGTGCAGTGTATAGAACACTGGGACTGCAGTCAGAAAGACACAAGTTCAAATCCTGCCTCAGACACTAATTGTGTTGTAACATTATTTACAAGGCACAGAAGTTTGTCTTGGTTTCCTCAGCTGTGAAATAGGGATAATAATAGTACCTATCTCACAGGGTCGTGAGGATCAAATGAGATTAATATTTGTAGAGTGCTTGGTACAGTGCCTGGCACGTAGCAGAAGCTAAATGATTATTATTATTATTATTACTGTTATTGTTGTTATTAAGAATGGATTAATGATCTGAAAGGGCAGCTAGGTGGCTTGGCAGACAGGAGTACTGGGCCAGAATCAGGAAGACAACTTCAAATCTGGCTTTAGACATTTAGTAGCTTTGTGACCCTGGGCAAGTCACTTTACCTTGTTTGCCTCAGTTTCCTCATCTGTAAAATGAGCTAGAGAAGGAAATGGCAAACCACTTCAGCATCTTTGCCAAGAAAACCCCAGAGTCATGAAGAGTTGGACATGACTGGAAATGCTTGAACAACAACAATGATCTCAAGTTGGCAGAGAGGTTTCTTAAAGGAAAACATCCGAGTTGACTATTCAGAATCACAAACAATTCACTTGAGCTGCTTCAAATTATGTGTACATTTGTGTGTGTGTGCAGCACATACACACACACACACACACATTTTTACCACTCTGGCAATTGTTTTGTCTTAAAAAAGAAAGTTCTCTTACTACTACATTGTACATTATGTTCTATCAGTAGAAAAAGTTGAGAAATATTGTTCGTATATTACCAGAATAAGATATGCTTTAAATATTTAATATCTGCCAAAGGAAGTTTAGCATATTTTAAGTGTAAGATTATCTTAATTCAGTTCACTTAACGTATTTGATGACTCATAGCATTTATAATGGGAAATATATTTTCTGGGGTAAAATTCTCATCTGATTAATTAGCCATGAAAATGGATCAGCAAAATTGGATTACTTCTTATGCAAGGTATCTATCTAGTACTTTTTTTACTGGCAGACCCTCTATTTGTTCCTCACCTGTTTTTTTTTTTGGGGGGGGTGCTAGACAATGGGGATAAGTGACTTGCCCAAGGTCACACAGCTAGTAAGTGTTATGTGTCTGTGGCCAGATCTGAACTCAGGTCCTCCTGAATCCAGGGCTGGTGCTCTATCCACTGTGCCACTTAGCTGCCCCGCTCACCTGATTTTTAAAATCCCTAGCTTCCCTTAAGACTCAGTTCAAGAGCTAATTTCTGCAAGAAATATTTCCAGAGGCTATTGCTTTCTCCCTTGCCTTCTCCCAAGATTGTCCTGTATTTGTGCTGTATATACTTACATACATGCATGCTGTTTCCCTCTTCTAAACTATTTAACAGGAGGGGTTTGTTTTGTATTTCCAGCATGTGGCATAAGTAGCACTTATACTGATGCTTGAACTGACAAAATGCAGATATGATAAGGAATTTATAGTCTATTAGTGGAAATGACATGTACACACATAGGTATATACAGAATAATTACAAAATAAATACAAGGTAGTTTAGAGTTGCAGTTAAAGGGATTGGTAAAATGCTTGAAAGTCATTTTGGCTAGAATGTAGAGTAGATGAAAGGGAGTAATATGTAACTACACTGGAAAGGTAGGTTGGGGCCAAGTTGTGAATTTTGGCTTTAAAAGATAAACAAAGGGGCTTCTATTCTAGAGGCAATAGGGCACCTGGAAAAACTGAGTACACATTGACTGATCTTCAAACGAACAAAGGAGAATCCATATCCATCCATATAATTATATACTACTTTTATCCTTTGCTAAGTTATTTCTGGTTTTCCTGATAGTTTGAGAAAATGAATACATTTCAGTTGGGCAAATATTTGACTCCCAAGGAATATGTTTGTTTTCCAAGATCATATCATTATGAAGATATTTATAAAATATTCTTTCCCCCTTAGTCACCCTTTGTTTTTAAACCTATTCCACTTGGAAATAAAATGTTTTGACAACTTGGTTTGTCTGAAAGACATTTCCTTGTCCCATTAACTTTAAATGTATTCAAACACATAATGTATTGATCTGAAAATGAGTCATAACTTTCACTTGAAATTAAGTTTGTATAAAATCAAAGTGTGGCCTTTAAGTGAATATGAGCACACAAACAAACTCTTCCCTAAAGAAGAACTATAAAGTTCATCTTCTCTAATAAATGAAAATAGTTTGAGCTTATTAAGGGAAGAAGGGAGATGTCATGGACACACAATTTTTTCTTTTCTGAGTTCCTACATCATTTTGGTGGTTAGTTTGGGAAGTTAAGTAGCTGAGATAGTTGAAGGGAGGAAGCAAAGAGACAGTTGCTACCTGATGGCAAGAAAAACAAGTATATAAACTCAGTACTCTTTTTATCACCTACAACACAAATAACACACAGTTAAGTTAATTCCTTATGGAAGGCATTGCCTCATTATTACAGGCAGAAGAGAGAAATACTATAGAGGTTCTTTCTTTGTATAGATTTCATTGTCACTACATCAAAACAGCATCATTGGCATGGAGAAATGTAAATGTTAGG